GCCCGCGCCCGCGCCCGCGCCCGCGCCGGCGCCCGCGCCCGCGCCGGCGGCCGCGGTCGCGCCGCTGCTGGCGGGGTCGAGGCGCAGCTTCTTGCCGACCTGCTGCAGCGCCTCCAGGGAGGCCTCGTTCCTGTGGGGAGTCGACAAGTCAACAACACCCAGCAGTGAGCAAGCGAGGGGGGGGGGGGTGACAATCCATGTCGACAACAACGAGAAGGGGACAAGCAGGGAGGCGGCAGGCCATGTCAACAGGAGCGGTGGAACGAGGCAAGCAGGCGGCAGTCCATGCGGCAGCAAGCCGCGCAGGCGGATGCGGCTCGAGGGGGGGAGCCGGCCCCTTGTGAGCGATCGATGGGGCGTTGCGGTGACGCTTTGTTCAAAAGGCTGCGAGCCTGGCAACATGGGCGCGCCAAGCCTTCGTGAAGCCACCCTCTGCGGGACGTCGCTGGACACAGAACAAAGCGCCCTCCAGGTCCATCACGCACCTGCCGTACTCGTCGCGCGCCGCGTACAGCGCTGCGTAGCGCGCGTGCGCCGCGGCCTGGACGTCAGTCAGCGCCTCCAGGCGTCCCAGGGCAGCCTCCAGGGGGCTGTAGGCGCGATCCGGGTGGGAGTTGAGCGGGTGGTCCACGTCCTGCGAGCGCGGAAGTTGTAGGGTCGGGCAGAGGATCGTTTATGCCAGCGGCCGTGTGCGGAACGTGGCGGTTGGATATGTTGAGAGAGGCAGGGGCGGCGGCAATGGACGGAGGCGGCGGAGAGAGCGCAGAGGAGGAGGGGCGTGCTCCGAGCTGACTGCCGGCTCGTGGTGGCGGCGGGCTCTCTGCTGTCTGCCCGTCTGCTCAGTGACGCCTGAAAGAGCCCGCAAGGCTGGGGTGTGGCGGCCGGGCGTCGGCCGTCGACGGCGCGCTCGCTCCCCCAGACCGGCCCACGCCGCACCCTGCAGCCCCTTGCGCCCAACGAAACCACATGCAGTGGCGTCAAACCGCTTGAGCGCCCCAAAACCCGTCGCCTGGGTTTTACCCCGCAGCACCATGTGCGTCAAGCACGGCTGCTGGAATGTGGACAGCCTCAAGAGTTGCAGCGGGAGGCGCGCCCATCGCTCTCACCACGCGCCCGTTGGCCTCCACGAAGGCCTTGATGGCCCCCACCACCTCCTCCATCGGCCTCCAGGGGTCCCAGTTCGCCAGCCGCAGCATGGGGTGGCTGCACAGCGCGCCCAGCATGGGGGGCGCCAGGTGGGGGCGCACCACCTGCGGGCGGGGTTCCAGGGTGTTGGCAATTCGAAATCCAGAAGAGGGCAAATGGAAGGGCGTCTGGCAAGGGCCGCACGGTGCGGCTTCAGCTTTGCGAGTTGGTGGCAGGCGAAGAGACCAGCTCAGCAGGCAGCCCGGCACAGGATGCAGCAGCAATGCAAGCATGGCTGAATCCGCCGTTCGGTGCTTGCATGCAAGCTGGGCGCGTCCGCTCGGCGGCTCGGCGCTCCTGCTTGATGGCAGGGCGCGTCTCCTTGCTGCGAAGGCCCGCGACGCTTGCGGGCAGTGCGCCGCGTACTGGCAGCAAAGCGCCTCTGCTTGGCAGCAGGGCGCATCAATGTGCTCGAGCTGCCCCCTCTCCCGTGGACCGTATGCAGCCCGTGTTGGCGCCGCCTGTGCGCATGCGTGCGCGCCGCCCATGCCCGCGCGCGGCTCATGCGCGTGCTCGTCCGCAGCCCGCACCTCCAGCAGTGGCGGGAAGAAGGGGTGCAGGCCGCGCATGAAGCTGAAGCGCAGCTGCAGGGTGCTGTATGCGTAGCGCCGCGACACGACCTCCATGTCCTGTGATAATGGCCAAAATCGGGGGCGCGGCCAGATTTCGGTTGAGGGGCTGGTGGCCTATGGCACCCTAGACGCATGCTGCTTGGCAGGGGTGGGTGCGGGGATGCTCATTGGGAGGAGGGTGGTGCGGCACGCAAGCGGAGGCCAACGTGGAGCCAGGGGCGCCGTGGCGACTAGGGGCACACAGGGGCACGGGGCTGCTGGCGGCATGCAACCAAGCATGGCGCCGACTGGATCGAATTATCCTCCAGGACTGCACCTTGGCCAGCTGCGAGCCCGCGTCAAAGTTGCTGAGCCACACGTCCCATTTGTACCTGCGCGTGGGGTCCAATACGCGCCGCGCTGGTTGCGGGGAATGTGGCTGATATCAGCGGCGGGATGGAAGATGGGGAGGTGCGCTTCGCAGGAGGGGGAGGGGGCGGTGACGGGGCGTGACCGGTGCCAAGCTCGCGAGGGCGTAGTCGGGGGCGTCGCAGGGGGCGCGGTAGCTCGGGCCGGGCCCTTGCGGACGCGCGGAGCTGCGTGGCCGGGCACGCGCAGGCAGGGGCGCTACCAGGGGCACCGGTGGAAGTGGCAGGCCCGGGGCCTCCGCCAGCGGGCCGCTGGGAGGATCCAGCCTGCTCGGGCCCCCCGAAGAGATACGGCGCGCCCGCTGCGAGGCGCCCGCGCCGGCGGCGGCTCACACATCGTCCCCGACCGAGTCTGCAAACAGCGTCGGGTCCTCCTTGCGGATGATGGCCAGTAGCTCGTTCGAGAGCATCTTGAAGCCCTCGGCGCTCGTGAAGATCTGACGCTTGCTGGCCGCGGCCTGCTCCATCGACAGCGCCGTCGCCTGGGTCGCCTGGGGGCCCGAGGGGGGGCCGGGCCAGGGGGGCCGCGAGGGGTGGTGAGGGGAGGGCGCAGCGAAGAATGTGCGGGGTTTTGATCATGGTGGAGCGCGTCACCGTGCCGGTCAACCCTCATGAATCAAAAACGGCCACATCTCAGCCATGCCAGTTCGAAGCATTATTTGCCTGGCATCCCGATCCCATACAATGACAAGCCTGCCACCCACCTTTGCCAGCTCCGCCTCGTGCCTCTCCCACTTCCCCTGCCGCACCCCGCACTCCACCAGCATGTCCCTGTCCTCGTCTTCGCTGCTCTGCTCTGACATCGAATTGTCAGAGCCTGACCGCCCCGCCTCGTCCTCGCTCCCGCTGTCGTCAGCGCTGCCCGCCGCGCCGCCGCGGCCGTCCTCGTCGTCGTTGTCACTACCCAGGCCGCCGCCGCCGCCGCCGCCGCCGCCGCCGCCGTTGCCGCCGTCGCTGCCCTCGCTCATCGGCTCGGCGCCGACGTTGTTGGCGGCGGAGGGCAGCGGGGCCTCTGCTGCGGCGGCGGCGCCTCCGCCGCCGGCGCTGCTGCGGCCGCGGGGATCGTGGCGGCGGAGGGCTTCCTCGACATACACCACCTCCAAGGCGTCGCAGACCTGCGGGCGCATTACGTGGCGTGGTTGACGAGGAGGGGCGCTGAGGGAAGAGGAGGGACGGCCATGGGGGTGAGTTGATGCTGGCGGCGGCCCGGGCGGCATGGGGGTCCTGCGCAGCATGGAATGTTTGGGCGCGTATGTGTGTGTGTGTGCGTGTGTGTGTGTGTGTGTGTGTGTGTGCGCGCGCGCACGCGGGTGTGTGCTGCAAAGCCACCTCATGAGATGGCAGCCATGGTGTGCCGTGCACCATGCTTTGATCAGTAGATTCCACAAGCGCATGTGATCAGTGCCACGCTTGCATGGATGCGTCCATGGCACCTGGGTTCATGCATGTACGAGGAAACATCCTGGGCCCTGTGTGAAACAGCTCAGCAACCCCTAGATCAACACGAGCCTCGCGCTGGATGCTGCTTCAACTGCTTCTCCCGACCGCTGCGCACGGGCGCATGCAAGCCGCATGAACCGATGGCTGCGCAATCCCAGCATGCATGCGTGCATGGCCGCAGCCGCAGGCACCGCGACCCGCATGCCGGCGATTGACCAGCAGCAGACGAACCCGCGACGAGTCCGCGCCGCCGCGCCACCCCCCTGCCCCCGCCACCGCGCCGACCCCCCACCTTCGACAGCACGAGCGGCAGCGGCGCGCGGTCCTGGAACCGCTCGGCCAGGCCGTCCAGCTTCGAAGCAACCGCTGGGTCGCCGTCCGCCATCACCAGGGCCCCCGAGTGGGGGTATGCGGAGGGGTCCGAGTACACGATGGTCGCGGTGACGCGCTCGCCGCTGTCTTGGGCCCGGAAGCACGCGTACACCGAGCCGTCGTCCAGCTTAATTTTAAGGAGGTCGCCCGTTGGGAATATCTCATCCAGGTCGGCCGCTACCGCGCGGACCGCCGCGGCGAGCGCCATCTGCTCCCGCCCGCGTGGCGGCGCGCACCGTGACGGGCCCGGGCGACTCGCCCTGCGCGGCGCGGGTGGCGGGCTGGCGCCTGAGGGCCAGCAATGGGCGTGCGTAATGACAAGGAACGCCTCGGTCCACGCCCAAGAGCCAGAACAGCTCGGGTGCAGCATGCAACACTTGCACACTGCGACGCAGCAGAGCACACTGACACAGGCCCTTTCAAGCACAAAGTGGGCGCCAGCACCGCCTGCATGCAATCTGAAGCATTACATAGTACACTTATCAGCACCTAAATCCGGTCAGGCCGCGGCCGGCCTCCCGGTCCGCACCTGAAGGCAAGCTAGGCGATTTTCAAGCCAAGCTTGTGTGGTAAGTTAAGGCTGATTCAGTGATGCTATCAATTCCTAGAGCTACAAGCGGCCAAGAGATGTAAACGAGACGCTCGTCAGGAATATCGACTCTGCGATCTAGGCTGCCAGCCTTTAGCCAAGAGATCGGGTCGTCTTCTGGGTTTGAATTGATGCATCACCGGGTTTGAATTGCTGCAGAGATGCCCACGGAAGGTTTGCCCCTGTGCAGTGCAAGTGTGTACGTGTGTGTGTGTGTGTGTCTGGTGTGTGCGCGCGCGCGTGGCGCTTTCCCGCCAGCTTCCTTGGGGCGGCAGCCCGGTGGGACTTGATGGCTGGCCCAGGAGGCAGGGAGGTGAGGCATGCAGCCGAGGCTGATGATGTAGCCGCTGTTCCCTGTGGCCCTTGAATATTGTATGCCTACAGTAGACCGCGTGCACATAGTGCACAAAGCAAGCGCGTGTGCACAGCAGAAACGGTAGCAGCTGTTTACATTTTGCTCTGTCGCAGGATGGATGTGTGGTGTGGTGGTCATGAGCGGGCCAGGGCCGAGGGTTTTTTTTTGCGCTGAGGCCTTGGATGAGAGTCCTCAAAACCGCCACTCGCGCTGCTTATTGCGCCGCGCATGATCTAGGCTGTTGACCGTTTCGAATCTTTCAGAATTGCGTACAGTTTCGTGCCGAGGCCGCATTGGGTATGGCGGTGTACAGCTAGGCTTGCGCCGCAAGCTCATGCGTCGCCCCAGCAATGCAGGTATGCAGCTGCACCCCGATGCTGCCCAGATCTGTCCTCAGTCACGGCAGCAGCACGTTTGTGAACACTGCCTCTGACGGCTGCCACCACCCGAAACACCACCACCCCAGAGCTCTGCAGCGCGATATCACCCTCGGCCATGCACCATCAAGCACAAAGATGAAGCGATCCACGCCGCCACCGCCACAATGCACCGCCAACCCGCCCGCCCGCCCCGCCCACACAAGGGAAATGTCACCATCGCCGGCCGAGCGAACTGTCGCCGCGCGCTGCAACGTAAGCTTGCTTGCCTTGAAGCGTTGACGCATCGCGTCGTGGAGCGCGTATGACAACATTAATACCGACGCTCTGCTGAAAGAGGGAGTTGTCGACCTCGCAAGTTGTCCAGGGATTAAAATAAAAAACGATCCAGACATCGGACCCGTCCATCAGAAGTCACAAAGTACGTGCACGCAGCACGGCCTGATGTGCCGTTGTAGAACTGGATGAAGCCCAACTGACGGGTGCGGGCGTGTGCGGAGTGATCCTGGCTACACCTGCGGGCAGGCTGACTGAGGGCAATGCTGCGTGCTTCCTGAGACATGGTAATGGCATCGCTTTCAGACTCAAAAGATCAGTAAGCAATGCACATCAAGAACTGGGAGGTGGAGCATGCGCGTGTGCTACCTGCTAACCAGAAGTTAGCAAAGTTTGTAAATCCAACCCTTCCCGAATCTGCCAGTGCAGCACTGGTAAACCCATTGCACGTAGCGGATGCGGCTGCTCCATTTGATTCACTGCCAGACCACACCGCTGCCGCAGCCCCCGGAATTACGCCCGCCTGCTGCAAGGTCAGCGCAATGCTGGCTCCGAATAGGCTTGTGAAGTTTCTGGCCAGAACCGCGCCAGTCGGCGACTCGATTGCAAGGCCGCTGGGGACACTGTACTTGGCGGGAAAATCAGCGATCTGGTCGGATGCAGATATTGAAAGAAACGCGTGCACCTGCACAAGCCCGGTCGGCCGGTTGAGGGAGGCGCTGCACAAGGCGTCGGCACCAGACCGGCCACCAAGGTTTCCGTTCCTTGAAGTGGTGGATTCGCTGTAAAGCACCACCCGTGAACGCAGGTACAGCGCCGCGGGCACGCCCCCCAGGCTGACGGCGTTGATGTTGGCCAGGTCAGCGGTTTTTGCGTAGACGCTGAAGTCGATGGCAGACACATCGGCCACATTGGCTGCCAGGGCGGTGAGGCTTGTGTTGACGGGAGCGATGGCTGCCGCGCCAGTGGTGACTGCGGCCTTCAGGGACTCCACAGTGGCGTTGGCCAGGGAGACCGCCGCCGCGTCCGCCGCCTGGGCTGCCTTGATGGCGGCCAGGGTGGTGTTGACGGCTGAGAGCTCCGGGCTGCAGAAGCACTGCTGTGGCGCAGACTTGAGCGCCGCGATGTCTCCGGCCGCGGTCTGGTTTGCCGCCTCCAGCAGGGCCAGCTGCTGGGCGGTGCGCGTGTCAGCGGCAGCAAGGGCGGCGAGCTCCTGTGTGATGGTGCCCGGGACAGTGGCGTTGGCCGCGTTTGCTTGCAGCTTTTGCACGGCGGCGGTGAGCACCGCGACAGTTGCTTTGAGCTCGTCCACCTGAGCGCGCAGCGCGGCTGTCTGGTTGCTTCCCTGGACGAAGTTGGCCTGCAGAGAGCTGGCCTGGGCGGCGGCGGCGGTGACCTTGGGCTCAAGAGCTGCCAGGTCACTGGACACTCTGTCAACCTGTGCAGCGGTCGCCACGCCGCAACCATAGCGCAGCTTGGTGGGGTCCTAGGGGAGTAGATAGTAGTGTGCCGGTTGATCAAATCAAAAAGCAACCAGTGTGGTGATTAGGACAACTTTGCGATATCTTGAAGGTCGAACAGTGTCCAGTGGTGCTGGAAGAGCTGTAGTTGCCTTCACCCCACGAACAACAAAGCAAGTCACCACTGTGTCATCGCGTCTGTTTGCTGCGATACCCGCACACAGACACCTGTCTGCGTTTGTGCGTGCGTGCTTGTGTGTGGGTTTGTGTGCACGCGCGTGCGCGCGCGCACCTTGCTGTCGGCCGTAGCGTTGGCAGGTGCCAGCAGCTCGCTGCACAGCTGGTCCATCAGGGCGGTGGGGCCGGCCTTCGAGGCGCACGACTTGATCAAAGCCTTGACGGGCGCACACTGTACGGAGGTGAGCGATCAAAGCAGGGTTGGTTCATGATGCTGGCTTCACGGAAGCCCCACACACAGCGCGGGGCAGGCAAGTACGTTTAAATGGCGGCGAGACACATGCCTACATGCATGGCCTCCTTGCTGGGGCGAAGAAAGCGACCAGCTGCTGCACGCCTTCAGGTGCGCAGCAAGGCCTGCGTGGCACGCAAGCATCACTCACCACCGCTAGCTTCTTCTTGGGGGTCGCTTGAGGGCTGCGGGGGGTGCCATGAGGTGGGACGACGGCGGTGTGGGTCAGCACGAGTTGCACGCACATGCTGATAAGACGGCTGAAGCGGAGGCGTGCAGATGCATGCGTTGTAGGTCAACAACACAAGCATACCAGCTGGGTTGTGGGCAATTAGCTCAGAGACAGTAAGTGGGGTGTCATCCACTGCGAGGCTGGCGTGCGAAAGGCTTCCATGTGCAAGTAGTGGGGCCTGCCGCTTGTTGTTTGCGACATCTGCCGTGCGCAGTAGTGTCTATGGTCGTGACCACTCTAGGCGCCCCACGGTAACTACCCTCGTTACTGCATGCATGCTACGACGAAGCCGATCTATATAAGTATTATACAACTGCTTGTGCGCCAAACTGGACATGTCAGGCGCTCGCTCCGGTCAGGAGTTTTGCCTGCACACCCCCTGAGGCTTCACAGGCCTGCGTGCGCACCTGGCACACAAGACCCCGCCCAGCGTGTTGAGAACCAGCAGTATCACCGTCACATGCATAAGCGATCTCCGTACACAGCACATGCTGGGCCTGTGGCGACTTCAACGGGAATCGCCTCTAGAGAGCGTTGATGATTTGAGCCAACCAAAGCGTTCGCTGCCAAGCATGCAGAGTGTTCACTATACACCAATGGCGGTGTGGAGTGCGTGTATTGCCAGTGCTTGCCGCACACCGGCCACTGCACCGACTGCCCCGGGTGGCCCGGGTTCGAGCTTCGAGGGTGTGACACTGGCCGACCACGACTCCGATGCTGTTGAGGTGGACTTTCATTTCATTAGCTGAGATATACGTCTATTATTTGAGGCATGCTTCTATGCTGAATTGTTTTGCATAGAATTTGTGATCAATTGGTTCCAGGCCGCGCCGACGGCTGGTGGTGAGGAATGCTGGCTGACCGCGGGCGAACAGACCAGACTTCTACTTCTAGGAGTATCCCGCTGTTCTTGGGGGTACCCCGGGGGGAGCCCGCGGGGCGGGGCTGGGGGCCGCTCGCGTCATCGCGGGGTGGGCGGGGACAACACGACGTACTGCGCGGACAGCTCCAGTGGAGGGGAGGCTGCTGCTACAGCTGACTCGCCAAAAAGCTGAGGCCGCCATTGTTTACAGCGGCGAAGAACAACGAATGCTTGCTGCGGCTTTGCCACGGCAGCCCACTGCAGCCAAAGCGCCCTGCCCCAGAACCCCCCTTGAAAACTGGTGCAAACTAACCGCGCGCGCTGCCAAGTGCCGGCGAGAAAATGTTGTGTGGCGGGCGGTCTGCGGGGCCGCCAGGCGCATGGGCCCTCAAAGCCTGCGCGCGACCGCAGGCGGGCGCTACGCGCCTAGGTGACGCCCAGCGCACCGGTTTTTGTCAGCAGGTGCGTGGGCAAATTTATTGGGCCGGGTAGCTGACTAAACACCACTTGTGCTGCCAAGCAC